CAAGCGTCGGGTTTTTATCATTGAAACCATGGGTGGCTACTGTGGCTACCTGGCCACCATGGCAGGACTGGCAGCTGGGGCCGATGCTGCCTACATTTTTGAGGAGCCCTTCACCATTAGAGATCTGCAGGTAGGCAGCCACCCAGAGCCTGCGAGGTAGCCCTCCCCTGCCCCAGCCTGTCCCCACTGTCCCCACAGCAGCCTGAGCTGTGAGAGCTGAAGAGGAGGACAGAACTGATTGGTCCATGGAGTCCTGCGAGGAGACTGGAAAGAGCACCGAGCAGGCGTCCCCTCGTGTAACCTCACGTCGGTGGCCACAGCACCTGTTTTGGAGCTTTCATTTTGAAGGAGGGCGTGCTGCTCAGCCCTTATGTGTGGTTTTCATTTTATGTTCAGAATAGACATGCCAGGGAGGTACTGTCTTCCTACTGCACATGAGAAAGGTTGAAAGAGGTTAAACACTTTTCTAAACTCATAACCGATTGAGAAAGTTGGTGATCTTTCTGCTACATCATGCCACCCTTCCCAAATTCCCTTGCTACCAAAGTGGACTCTTTTCATTCCATTTTTGAGGAGGGGATACCCTTTCACCTCCGGGGTTAGGCTCTGACTCCTATTGCACAGAAGGGCCATATGACCCTTATTTTCCAAGATCACAGTTCACTGGAGGGTAAAAGAACCGCACCATGGAGGGGGCAGCAGGCTGAAGGGACTCCCCAACCAAGAAGCAGAGGGTGGACTCTTCCTCCCCTGCCGCCGACTCAAAGCCCAAGCGAGGGAGCTCGTTCCTCCCGGGAGAGTCACTGCTGCACAACCACCGACACCGAGAGCACAGTCAGTCCTCTGAGGGAAGCAGAAAGCCCTAGAAAGGGAAAGTGAGAGGAAGTAGGAGGGGCTGAAAACTGACAGTCACCACAGCTGTCTCTAATTTTCCGTCCTCCAGCCCTGCCTGTCTCAATTGGAGGCTTCATTTAAATTTCGGTCTGCACTGAACTTCATAAAAGGGATCGGGCCCAGGAGCGGCAACAGCTCTTCCATGTCCGTCCTTCCTGGGTAGAGGCCTGGCCAGGGAGGAGAGGTCCCAGCACTTGCTGGACCTTACGCACCCCCAGCCAGGCTTAGGATTTGTTGTTTCATTTTCAGGCGAATGTTGAACATCTGGTGCAAAAGATGAAAACAACTGTGAAAAGGGGCTTGGTGTTAAGGTACCTCATCCACAGTTTGTTCCTAAATGAAGAGAGAAAATAGCCAGGCTTTGGCCTTTGCCCTCAAATGGATCTGTAGTCGGGACCCTGAGGAATCTGTAGACACAGAGGGAAAGAACCTGAACCACAGGAGGAGAGAAAAGGGCGGAACAGAGCCTACACAGGCAGAAAACGAGGTGGAGGGATGGGGAGACAACCAAGGTCACGGGCTTTTGGTCTCTACCTGGCAGGAATGAGAAGTGCAATGAGAACTATACCACCGACTTCATTTTCAACCTGTACTCTGAGGAGGGCAAGGGCATCTTCGACAGCAGGAAGAATGTGCTTGGCCACATGCAGCAGGTAGGGAAGACACCCCAGCCGTGCCCTTCACCAGAGAGCCACGTTCCGCACCAGCCATCACAGCTTCCACCGGCCTCTCCTCTGCTGGGGGCTGCTGGTGCCAACATAGCATGTGAGCCTTAACAGTTGCAGAACCAGAACATCTTTACCCTGGAAATGACATTAGAGATTGTGTGGCCCATCCTCTTCGTTCAGGGCAGGGTTGCTCAACTTTGGCACCGTTGCCATTTAGAGCAGGATAATTCTTTGTCGCAGTGGCTGTTCTGTGCTTTGCAGGATAGTTTAGCAGCATCCCTGGACTCTACCCACAAGACTCTAGTAGCACCTCCACCCCGAGTTGTAACAAGTTAACATGCTCCAGACATTGCCAGTGTCCCCCTGGAGAGGGCAAAACTGTCTCCAGTTGAGAACCACTGATTGCAATGAAGAAAAGGAGGCCCAGAGAGGAGAAATAAGTTTTTCAGGGCCGTTCATTAAGCTTGGATGAGAGCCAGAATGAGCCTAGTGCATTGCTCTTCCTAACACACTATTTCACAGGGAGCCTGTGGCGCTATTTCCCACAGAGCCTGTGGAATGAGCGCAAGTGCCTGCTGCTGTTGGGCTCCATCTCCGGCTAACTGGGTTTCAAGGGAAAAGGAATTCCTTTCTACCACCCACATCCAATCCCCACATTCAATTCCTGCCCAAGATAAGCCTCACTCACAAACTGTACTAGTGGTCTGAGGCCTCCCCCATCCTAAATGTCCCCAGCTGATGCTACTTAAGCATTGACCTTTGATCCTTCTCTACCCACAAATTTCCGGTATCTCAGTTTGAATGAGCTTATCAACCCCTGCAGAAATGGGGTACTATTGTATTCAAGTATAAAGACCTCTTTCCTGTTGTTCCTCCCCACTTTCCCACTTACTTTCTCTTAGTTCAGGAAAAAAATCTACATGTTTTATACTATTCTGAGGTGCTACCAAGGGCATCCAGACTGGGCCACAAGGAGCACTTACTTTGATGCCATTGATGATGAGGACTGACAAAAGCTGCCAGGTTGACAAAGGGGAGGGAAGTGACCAAGAAGACAGTAAGACTAGAAGTACATGAACAGGGTCTGGGAGCTGTGGAGCTAGAAGAGGCCATTGTGAGTCATCCCTTTAACTAATTAGTAACTCCTACAGCTGACAAACGGTCAAATATGCCGGGCCAGCTCATTTTCCCAGAACTATTTCAGAATTTCCTTTCATAATTAGATTTCTGGATTCCTGTTTCTGGCTACAAATCTTGGGCCCGATCTTTGCTTTTTCTCTGTGTGTTCAGATATCTTGGCTACTTAATTAGAGTCCTTCCCTCTGTAATTTTTATGATTCTTTTTCTAGGGTGGGAGCCCAACTCCATTTGACAGGAATTTTGCAACTAAGATGGGCGCCAAGGCTATGAACTGGATGACCGGGAAAATCAAAGAGAGTTACCGAAATGGTATGGGGGGGGAAGAGGGGGAGGCCCCTCCCCAGAGGCTGGTTCCCCAAGTACCTAAAACCTGATTGACCCATCCCTTCTTGCAGGGCGGATCTTTGCCAATACTCCAGACTCGGGCTGCGTTCTAGGGATGCGTAAGAGGTCCCTGGTCTTTCAACCAGTGACTGAGCTGAAGGACCAGACTGATTTTGAGTAAGTACATCTACTTCCTGGAGTGGTTCCCTCCCTGGTAATTTCAAGTTCTTCTTTCACCAACCTGCTCACTGTCTTCAGTTCTTCTCTTAGGAGTAACACCCGTAGTCATACCTACTCAAGATCTGATGCCTGTGCCCTAAATCCAGGCTCTGTTGCTCAACTTCTTCCCATAAGCCTTTGATAGAAGTTGATTGCACTGCTGAAAGATCAGATCATCATCTACCTCATTCCTCTGTAGGCACCGCATCCCCAAGGAACAGTGGTGGCTGAAGCTGAGGCCCATCCTCAAAATCCTAGCCAAATACGAGATTGACTTGGATACCTCAGAGCATGCTCACCTGGAGCACATCAGCCGGAAGCGGTCTGGAGAAGCTCCTGTCTAAGCATCCTTGGAGTGAGGGGAACAGATTGTCTGATCGTGGTCAGCTCACCCCGACAGATCCAAGTCCGTCTATTCCCAAGTGTTTTAGCTTATTTTTCATTAGGTTTCCTTCTATTCTGTAACTGCAACTAAGGTCAGCTCTGGCTAGGGGGCAACAAGTGAAAGCTTGTTTTAGGTACAATTTATCATGACTTCTACCCCAGCTTCATTCGTCACACAAGGCTGGGCTCATCTAGTGCTACTGCTAGATTTCAGTTACTCGGTTAGAATTTTCCTAAAAATAAGCTTTATTTATTTCTTTGTGATAACAAAGTCTTTGTTCCTCTACTACTTTTGCTACAGTGACAAACAATAACTACACTAATAAATGCCAACTGGTCACTGTGCTTTTGGGTTTCCTGTTATTTTCTTCACTAATAGAATGTAGTATGGCCAGACTCTGCCCAAACACAACACTGGGGAAATGCAGCCTGTGTGATCACCCCATGGACTTCTGCAGCAAATCTTGGCTCTGTATACAGGGCCCTAGAACATAGCACACTGGTCCTCACCCTCATCCTGCACAAGTCGCTCCTGTATCCTCTGCAGCCAATACGATGCTCCAGTCTCCCTTAAGCCAAAGTCCTATTTCACCTCTTGATCACATACCCTATAAACCCATTACCCAGAGTTGGTTCTTCCCAACTATGCTGTGATCTCTACTCCTCTCCTGACTACCCAGGGTTTTCCCTTCCTAACTATTGCCCTTTACTGCTTCCTGGATGAAAGCCAGACTCCATTTGTGAGGAGACATGCACATTTGGAAAGCTTGGGAAATTGAGGCACCCTGTCTGGGACCTGGTTTTCTTGAAATACTATTTTGGAAAGTTGTCAGTTCTTGTTCAGCTTAATTTTTCTGTTCCACATCAATAGCTTCTTCCTCCTTATTAGCAAGTAATGCAGTTGGTCTTCAGGACTGGGACTACAAATTATACCCAAAATGGCCAGGATGGTGCCCTGTCAATGCCAGGTTTAAACTGCAGCCTCCAGTAACCAGATCCTGGCTCTCAAGATAGGCATATGTAGTCCTTCCAACTCACAGTTTCCTCACTTGCTTAATGAAGCAGGAAGAAGGTTCAGGCTTACAAGGGGTGGAAGAAGCGATTATCTCTAGTATGTCACTTTTGTTGGCTGTCCAAAGTATTACTGCAATACCTTAAAAAATGATCTGAGTATAGTGACTGAGAAGGCTGGTCAGAGTACTATTAAAGCAGCCAGATGCTCTTTGTGCAGGAATTAACAATATGTATCAAGCACTGTTGTCACAGAATCCTCAACAGCCTATGAGGGGGGTGGTAACAGCCCCATTTTAGAAGGGAGGACACGAGAGCTCAGGGTGATTAAATAATGTGGAGAAAGTAGGAACAGTAGAAATTGGCCAAAGTTGCTTTTAGAATTGTTTATTTTTTTAAGTAAGCAAAAACACCAATAGCAAAAGGGCAAAAACAGATATACTTCTTTAAATCGGCTATGCCACCAGATTGTTTATTTGTAGTTCCCAATCGGCTTTTTTTTAAAGGTTTTTCAAATTTGCATACAGGTCATTTAAGATCAATGATAACTTGATCTAGTTTAGGAACATGTAAAGGAGCATTGTTGACTAAATATTATTCACTAAAACAGATCTTTTTTGGGTAGGTGGGCCATTTCAAAAAAAGCTCATGATGGTCTTTCCCCAACTCCATCCCCTCCACCAATGTCTTGTATAGATCAGTAAAGAGCAAATATTCTGAAACTGAAAGAAAAATAACTCTGTGAGCTTCATCTAGGGAATGAGGAAGATCCACGGGAAAAGACAGCCCAACTCCTCCCTTACTACAGCAAACTCCTTCATCTATGGTGCAGGAACTGCCTGCCAGGCCATTAGAGCAAACTGGCTTTCAAGGGAAGAAAGGGCTGCATTAGAAGAAAGCTCTTAGGACTGCTTAGAGTCTGCTATCTCCTACAATGTGCAAAGGAGCGAGACAATCTTTCTGAAATACTATTGCTGAATTATTGTAATCCTTGGGCACAACCATGGAAAAGGTTTTTTTTTCTTTCGATGCTGAGAAAGGGGGCTGGTCCCTTCCGGATGCCCTGTGATGTGGCACTCTAGGGGAACCATCCAGCCCCGTTCTCAATCTGCACACTATTTGAGGCTGTAGAATCTTCATCTTTGGGCCGCAATGTTAGCTGAAATTTTCATAAATGTCCTCACAGATCAATTGAAATGCTTCTAGAGGATACTTGCAAAGCATTAATTATGTCCCCAAAGAAAAACCAAACACACATTCTTTAAGTACTTTGTACTTTTCTTTCATCTTCCTAGAGAAATTAAGTGGCACTGTTGACTTTTTCCCTAAAGGAGAGGGGGCGGGGGAAACCTCATTTTTGCAGGGTGCGATATAAAAAGCCAAGTAAACAGAAAACAGAAGTGAAAGACTTTTTTTGTTTGGTTGGTTGCTTGCTTTGGGGAGAGGAGGTGGTGTGGAAGTTACTGTTGTGACATGTTGCCTCAAAATATAAACCACACAACAGGAACAGCTGTTTTTCCTGTTTTCCAAGACAAAGAGACACTAGTGCAGGGAAAACCCTCACCCCGAGTTGCCTGTGTGATGGTGCAAACGTCTCCTGCAGGCTACTCTACAAGTAGCAGGTACTCCTTCAGAGAGGCCGGCAGGGGCAGGCCCTTCACGGCATCTGGCAGGTACTGGAGTCCCAGGCTACGGCGCACAGCATAGCGAGAGAGTGTTTTTAGAGTTCCTGGGGCTGAGCACAGAACAGTCAGTTTCTCACATAGCTGCTGGTCTCTCGCCACCTCTCGTGGCATGGTGCCATTTTTCCTTAATTCAAAGTGTCCAACAGCTCTGTGGAGGAGCTCAAAGCAAGAGTCCTCTTTCTCAGTTCCAAGTCCCCTGACTAGCAGAGCCACCAGGCGTGAGATGGGCGTCTGGCCTTTTAGGTTGATGACTCTGACCTCTGCACCATAATCAAGAAGGATGCTGACGCTCTCAAGATTTCCCTTCATGGCAGCCCAGCTGAGCGGGGTGTCGTTGTTGTAATCCAGCGCATTGACGGAGGCCCCACTCTCCAGGAGGGCCCGCACACATTCGGCATTGTTCTTAAAGGCTGCCCAGTGAAGTGGGGTGTCTCGGTTGCCATCCAGGGCATTGGGGTTTGCACCGTACTCCAACAGAACCTCCACGCAAGCCTCGTCCTTCTCAGCTGCGTAATGGAGGGCTGTTCGGTTGTAACCATCCAGGGCGTTCACCTGTAGAGACGAAGGAACTAGATTACAGTAGGTAGACCACTGAGGGTGACAGACGGGCACAGAACTTGCGTGTTTATCTATTGCCTTTGCTTGTAATGTTCTGAACAAGGTCAACAAGCATTTTGCAGGGGGCCTTGGTGGTCAAGGTGGAGGAATGACAGGAGCTTAGGAACAAATAGGAAAAGAACTGTCCCCAAACAACCAACACTATTATGTGCACTGATTGGCTGGCCTGCATTATTTAGTTGTTTGCTGCTATTCGTCCTTATTATTCACTAGAATCTCTACCATAGAGTAAAGGCTAAAGAAAGAGAAGATGAAGTCTAAGTCCTTGTAACTACTCTAAAAGGCATCTATTGGAAAGCAGCTTGAATATACTAGCCAGTGAAAAGATTTTGGATTATTTTACTCATCCCAACTCGCTCTATCCTGTGGCTAAGGGTAACCAGACTGAAAAATAATGAGGCCAAAGAAAGCTCTGCCCATGTAGCTCTGCTGCTCTTTAGCCATACAGAGAAGCTCAACTTGTTCATCTAAGTCAGCCCCTTGCAAAAATGTGCTGTGCAGTCACAAGAGAAACCTGGACAAAAGCATGTGGAGAAAGGAGCACAAAGTCTCCCAGTTCTGGGAAAGCGGCTGGCTTGCCGAAAATCAACATCACCTATCATTTTTGAAGGCTACAAAAACTTCAAAACCCAAACTTATGTATAGTATATTATCCTCCCCCATAAAATGCAATCAAGAAAAACTGTAATATTTAACTGAGTTCAACCTTCTATTTAGCTAAAAACTCTTTCTGCTTCCCTGCCACCCCGATCCCCAAGATATATTCACTTTCATCACTGATGTGAATCACTGGCTTTCATTTTAGGGTCCCACACTAAAGTTAGGGAATAGATAATGACAGCAGAGAACAACGCAGAGAACAACGCGGAGATCAGATGCTGGGGCTGCCCTTAGGCTGAGTGACCAGGGTGCCTCGGGCCTATACCCCAGCTTCACGGCATCATCATCTCTGATTCACATTAGCGCCTCAGCACATGCGCAGTCAAGACTGCTCACCAGGAGTCAAAACTGCTAATACATGTAACCAGCTGTTACAAATTACTACATGCCAGTGTTCTAGACACGGTCTCACCTTATACTCTTATCATCCTCATTTTATAGATGTGGAAACAAAGGTAAAGAAAGGTCAAGTAACTTGTTCATGGTTATACAGCTGGAAGTGACAGCTGGAATTCAAATCTATGAAGTCTGGCTCCAGAGTTCATTCTTTTATTTTTTAAAAATATTTTATTTATTTATTCTTAGAGGGGAAGGGAAGGAGAAAGAGAGGCAAAGAAACATCAATGTGTGGTTGCCTCTCACACATCCCCAGCTGGGGACCTGGCCCGTGACTCAGGCACGTGCCCTGACTGGGAATAGAACCAGCAACCTTTCAGTTCACAGGCCAGTGCTCAATCCACTGAGCCCCACCAGCCAGGGTGGAGACTCACTGTACCATGTCACTTCTTGCTAATATCAACTAATACATATCTATGGTTTTTATGTTAAGAGGTTCATATCAGAAAGACAGAAGCAAGATACACTAAAACAAAATAATTAGTGAAGATCAGATGCTGGGGCTGCCCTTCAGTTGTCGGACCAGTGTGTTTGGGGTCTGCACTCCAGCTTCATGGCATATCTGATTCAAATGAGCACCTCAGCATATGCACATTCAAGACTGCTCACCAAGAGTGAAACTGCTAATACATTTATAGAATATAGAAATCGCACAAGTAGCCCCATTCCGAGGAAGGGATTGCCAAATGATACGTAACTTTCAGTGATGATGGTGTTAGAAGTGCATGTCTGGGAGCAGGTCTCACATGGTTTTTAGATTTAACCAGAGTTGAGGGATCTCTGCACTTACAGCTCTTAGACAATCAAAAGGCAATAAAAGGATTAAATAGAAATATAAACAACCCCAGAAAGAAGGCTGAGGAGAGAGATGGAAAATAAAATTCCCTCTTCCTGGAGCCATGGACAACTTAAAAAAGAAAGGCAGAGATATAAAATCCTCAGGACAGTTTTATATATTTGCCATTACATTTTGCTTTAATAGTGGCTATACCAGTGTTACCATGAGCTAGAAGATGGGAAGAGATGGACAAGAAATTTTAAGAAAAGGTGAGGTGCAAGTTTTAGTGAATCATTAAGATGACGGCGTTAGAAACATTACCTCAGCGCCTTTCTCCAGGAGTAACTCCACACAGTCAGCGTCTGACACCATGCAGGCGCAGTGCAAGGGCTTCAGCGTGCCGTGCGTGCAGTTCACATCCGCTCCCTGCGGCAGATGGAAACTTCAGTCAGTGCGCTCTGTTCTGGCTCATTAAGTGGGACAAAATTCAGTTCTGGGGGGAAGAGGGTTCTAACCCTGACTGTACTGCAAACAGAGTAGTGGTCCCAGTTTGTACTCCAATTAAGTAATGTTTTAATGCTAATACCCAAACCATGCGAAAACACTGAAGAAAAAGAAAAGGAATGGTCAAGTCCTTAAATCAAGTTATTTTCTCCATGAGGCGGCCTGCTAGAAGGTCATTCAGACATCACAGAGGACATAACCTGACATGTGGAAGCAGTGGGAACCTTATCATCAGGCAGGAAAGCTGGAAAAGTTTTCTGTGGCCACCATGCTCTGAAAAAGTCAGGAAAGTGAGCCTGTCAGACTTAAGCCAGGAGAACTGGAATGCTCTTTTTGCCATTCAATAGATGACCATCACTAATAGTAAGGTCATCATAACGTTATCTTTTCGTTTCCAAACAATTTCAAAGCAGCCTCTTAGAATCGGCATTCTCTGCCATCTTGCACCGGCTGGTACTTCTTTTTCAAAGCTGACAAAGGAGAGGATATACCACAGTCAGACCAAAGTTACTGGATGACTCAGCACTGGAGCTAGAATTACAACGTGATGAAATTTCTACTGCAGAGCCTTCTGATACCATTTCTGCTAAGTACAAGCTAACGCTGTATGACTTTCTTCTCACAGCTGTGCCCCACAACTCTGAAACAGCTACAGAGCTCCAGGTGATAACTAAGGATTCTAAAGTTGTCAAAAAGAATGTACAGAAGTAACCATCTAGATACATTTTCTAGTGACAAAAAATTACCCTGTAACTTTTCTTCAACAGGAATAATATACAGAAAAAGGTATCAAGGACCTTCTAGGATACACTAATCATGGAACAGAAATACTGAACAGTGGTTAAACAACAGCTAATAAGGTGTTTTCTTAAGTCAAAAATTATCATGCATTTTAGGGGTTGATACTATTCTTCACAGAACTGGAGGTATAGCTGCTGTTAAGACAGAGGCAGGTGATATCTCTCCATGTAATCATAAACCACAAGGATTTGAAAACCACTTCTGCTTTGCTGGTCTCCTTCCTCCCTTAGTACATGTGTAGAAGACTTTGAGCTCGCTGGATCCCATAATGCACCACATGCAGAGAGAGACTTTACAAAGAATATGAGACTAAGGTTATCTAGAACATATTTCCTGAAGGACAATATCAGATGCTCAAAGTGAAAAGGAGAGGGGAAGAGAAGTAAAACATAGAGAAAATATATTATAATGGTCAAGTTAATACATTTAACACATTTAAGAAGACTGTAAAAACCTTGTGATCTTCACCTGAGTCAAAGCCACAGATCTGTAATCTATTAGGGTTCCCCTGGAACTTTCCTACCTCGCCTCCCCAAGGACTCTCGTGTCAATAACAGCACACTCACCCCTCTGATGAGGTCCTCTACATTGTCATGTGGGAAGGAACGAATGGCAGCGATTGTTCGGATTAAGCGCTCTGAGAGAGAGTATTTGCTCTGAATGCTCTGCATAATATACCACATACTGGAACTCATCAAGGCTCAGGGTATGTTCACATGCTCCAAACTGCCTGAAACAAAGAAGTTTTAGGCATATACAATATCACTGAGCTATCTGTCCTTAGGGGTAGGAGTCCCCTGAGGCCTTCTTAATACTAAAAGCAGATTTCAAAGAGATCAATGATTAATATCATTTTCTCTTGATCATAAGAAAAAGATGAATAATAGTTGCTTAGGGAGCCAGGTAAACCTGGACACAGAGGACTTGACCCTTAGAACCCCAGTTCTACCCTCTGACCTAGTCTAGCACAGGATTCCCCCAAGAGGCCCCAAGGCCCCCATGCAGTCCTGTGGTTTCAAACAAGAGAACACAAGGAAGGGGATTTTTTTAAAAGGCTGAAGGTGCCCCAAAAATATTCTTTTCCTCCTCTGAATTTTTTGGTCTTAATCAGCACAATATTTAGATTATTCGTTATATTTGACCTTGCAGTATAGTTATAGCTATAGGTTTTCTCCTTCTAAATTGTAATCAATGGGAAGGCAAGGTCCTTATCTTCCACTTCTTCACCATATAAGGCCATCCACAGAGTTTCACAAAAACTAGGTATTTAATAAATATTGGTTGATTGATGGACTAAAAGGCATGCAAGTGATTGTTACCTGTGTGAAGAGAGGGAAGAGACTATGGAACAAATACATTTTGTTAATCACAAGGCATCTGTGAAATAGCTTAAAATATTTTCAGCAAAGAAGAAAATGGGAAATATTTGAAGTTATATTCAGTATAATAAGATAAGGAAGGAACGCAAAAGTACAACTCTGGAGTCATCTGTATGAATTTAGAAAAAAAATTCAAAGTTCACACCAAGGACACATGCTTGCAGTTGTAGGAAAATAAGCTGATTTGAGTGCAAAATGAATGAAAAATTTTAATAACTGGCCATCTGTGACAACTGAGAAATAGATTTGAGCAAATTATATGTTCAAACCACATGACAGAGAGTTCTAGGATGGAAGAAAATAATGCAATATACTTAAATTCAACTATGGTAAAAGTTTTGGTTGTGTAACAGCCACATACTAGTTGGGAAACATTTAAAATTACAGCAAATAAGGTGAAACATTTCCATGAAAAAGCATACGAGGTCTGTCCAGAAGGTATCCGGCCATGGAATATGAAAAATAAAGACATTTACTGAAAAAGATACAAGATAACAAGAAACATTGTACATAGGACAGTGGTGCCTCGGTCCCCTTCAAAATAGGCACCTTGGGACCTCACACACAGTTCTCCCAGTTGCCATCAGCTGCCTCAGCACATTTTCCTGAATCTCATCAATAGTCTGAAATCCCTTCCCTTTCAAAGGTGATTTTAATTTTGGGAAAAGCCAGAAGTCCCAGGGCACCAAATCTGGGCTGTAGGGGGGCTGAGTCACCTGGGTGATTTGATGTTCCTCAAAAAGACTCTGCATGAGGTGTGATGCATGAGCGGGTGTGTTGTGATGAAGCTGCCAGTCACCAGTTGCCCACAGCTGCGGACTTCTGAATCATCAGAATAGTTTCCATGGAGGAACATTCAAGCTTAACACAAAAACTAATGCAGATGTGTTGCTCTACTCGTTCATTTTGAATGCAATGGCGCACAGTACACATGCTTATTCAACAGTGTCTACCGTCCCCACTGACTAGTACAGTGAAGTCATCATTGTTCACACGTGCGTTGCAGTCCACTGTCCTTGGCTGCCAGGTTACACTGATGTTTTGCAAACCATTCTTGTTATATTACCAATGGCTGGACTTTTTCAACAATGGCTAGACAGACCTCGTATATCAAAAGTTGTACAGGAAATGTGGTATGCAGTATCACCTCTCTGTGTATAACTGTTTATAAAGTCCATATTCTTATTAAACTGTTAAGTTCCTTGGGTGTAAATATAGTGTTATTTTCAATAGTGCCTGGCACATGGCATGTTCTCAATAAATATTTGTTGAACCAATATAAAGTTTATTACTTTGGATCTTCAAAAACTCAAGATTTGCTATTAAATATGTTATGCATATGAGGATTACCAAGGGAAAAATCCCATTATTATTTTGGTCATTTAATACTATGTAATTTTTGCTTTTTGTGATAGCGTATTCCCTCATAAATTATGTAACATACTACAAACTCTAATAGTTTTTATTTTGCTAGTCACTAGTCATTTACCTGCTTAAAACATATACATACAGTAGCAATTACTAGAATGCAAGTTAAAAATATTCAGTTCATAGGTATCAATAATTTCAGTTGGGAATGCTCCCCTATTTTATTATGGATAAGCGTACATTCGTTTATAAGCTTACTTTGTTTATATGTTTCTCTGAAATTTTCTAGATAGTTTATAATTGGCATAATTTCTCCAACAGCCACTAAACTCCTCAGAGACAAGGGTCTGCGTCTTATACTTCTTTGTTGTAAGGAAAAAGGGAAAGACAGAGGTGCAGTTAAGTCAGGATTCCAAGAGTGGGGGCAGAAGACAGAGCATCGGAAGTGGAAGTCTTAGACTGAGGTGGTTCTGTTAACCGATTCTGGGCCATGATAATCTGAAGATGCTAAATAAAACGTGCAATCATTTTTGCTGCGTTCTTGGAGCTCCTAACTCAGAATATGACCAGTGGTCCTCTGCTGCTGCCTCCAAGTTCCTGGTGAAGAGTGAAGCTCCCGAGCACATCGACAACATTCATTGTCAAGAATGGTCAAGGAAATCTAAACTTGACCTCCAAGTGACCCCTTTCCTCCGCTGGAGCTGAAAGCCCTCTCTCTCCAGTTTTCTTCCTCTTCGGAAACAGAGAAAACACCCAGGGGTTTTTACTGCAAAGCTAGAAATAAAATGGGAGAGAGGCGACGTTCAACAGCTCTGGTGCTTGGGAGGCCTCGGCTTCTGTCCGGGCGGGGAGACCCTCGGCCCCACCAGAGGCACCCCCAACCCCCATTGCACCCGCTGAGGGAAGTCTCCCGGCTGTCTTGTCTCGCTGACGTTACAGGACGGAGGGAAAGGGCATGAAATGCGAGATGTTTGGTGTCACTTTCCGCATGGGCTCCTAAAGACTGCAGCAACCCCGGCAGGTCTCTTGGAGCCGGTACTTTGAGAGAGTCGCGCAATCTGCGTCGCGGGAGCCCCAGGGGAGGACCAACCCCCGCCCGGATCTCCCCAAGGCTAGGACGGTGTCTCAGTCTCGAGGGCTAGCGGACCCCAAGCGGGGAGTAAAGGAAGCGTTACTGGGCATGGTGCGCCGGGTTAGGGAACCTGGACGCAGGCATTCCCGCAGCGAGGGCCGCACTCACCGAACCGTGGGGTTGAGCTGGGTCGTGAGAGCCGCTGTCAAATGGTGACCCGGAAGCAGAAGTTGTCACCAGAGGGCCCCTCTGTTTACGGGACTTGAAGAGCGACAAGGATGGGCGCTTGCGCAACGACCAGTGTCTGTAGGCGGGACGCGCCTGCGCAGACTCCTGAAGCATCTTCCGACCTACCCAGGCCTACCTAACCAGTCACTTTCTCGCCCTGCTCTGAGGTTTTGCACGCAGGCGCAATGTGGGGCTTTCCCCTGCAGCCCAGGGTCTCGAGTCTGCCCCAGAGGGGCCAAAGCTCCCTAGCCCAGCTGTTGGGCTGACTCTGTGGGGCCGCACCTGCCAGGACCAATCCTGCAGTGGATCCTTGCGCCGCAATCCCCACGCCTCCCACCCCGCCCCCTACCCCCGCTGCCTCCCTCTGTCTACACCTGAGATCAGGACGGAGCACCTCGTTCCCGTATTATTCCCTGAGTCGGTACACTAGTTCAGTTTGGGTTAGGAGGCCGAACTGTTACAAAGAAGTGTCTTTGGCAAATAAAAGACTTCCAGAATTATTCATAATGTTGGAACGCATTTATGCTTCTCGAACCCTCCTGGATATTGTCTGCCCTCCCTCAAAAGGAGCTATACCAAAGATCAACAACCACCCAAGAGGTGTATGTAAGCGGCCCAAATGTTGAGTACTGAAAAAGAGGTACATGCTGACAATAACGGGTCCCACCCAGAGAGATGCTGACACCTCTGATGTACTCTCCATATAAAGCAGCGATTTTCAACCTTGTTCATCTCATGGCACACATAAACTGCTAAAATTCTGCGGGACACCAAAAAGTTTATTATATTTTTTTGCTGGTCTGACACACAAAAAAATAGATATAATTTTGATTGATTCACACAGGAAGGCTACTATTGTGTTGGCTGTTGTCATTTTTTTAATTTGCCAATCTAAGGGAAAAGGAGTCAGTGCCCCTGGTTAAATAGTTAGGTATTACTATAGTCAGAATGGTTTAAAAATTCTTGTGGCACACCTGTCGCAATCACTGACATAAAGCATACACATTTTGAAGCCAGTAGCACATAGTGGTGCATGTAAATAGGGAAGCAGCCCACAAAGGCTGTTAAGTGTTGTGATCTACCTGGGAGCCTTTCAACCAAGAGTGGCCCCTCACCCACTTCCCAAAGCTTCCTCTAAACAACAAAATTTAACCAGCCTGAAAGTAAAGCAGGGCTCAGACAACTCATGCACACCAGTGAGGGTGTGGTTAGCTGAAAAAGCTCCTGTCCTAAGTGTGTCTTCTCTCAGTTCCAAATGCAAAGGATTTTTGCCACGCAGGCGTGTGCCCCCCACCTCCGGCCACTCTGCTACGGAGAGATCGTCTAATAGTCCAGAAGAAGCTGAATTCCAGATTCGTAAAACATGAATTCTCCCAAATTGCAAATGTTGGCAACTTTTTTTTTTCTTTCCAAGAATCATTTTTAAAAGCGGACAACATTCAGCCTGCAGGCCAGCAATTCCAGACTCTGGCCTGAAGGCCCTCTGGTCATTGTCAGCGCGGTGGGAGGGTGGTTTAGGGGCAGCCCTCTGACTGGGAGGAAGTTGGGGGTTGATATGAAACTGTAGCTACATATTAACTATATCATTTTTGATTGATAGATTTACTTGGGAAAGTGTGAAGGGACTTGAATGAGATTACGTGGAAGCTAGAGTTTCTCACCCTCACACACCAAGCTATTCTAAGGCATTTGATCAAATCAATGAACTGGCAGTGGTCTGATTTTGTGTGCATTGCTTCTAAACCAGAAAACTATATTAGGGCCCTAAAGAACATTAAACCTCCAAACACTGGGGCATGCTGATCCAAAATGAAGGAGTTTGTCTGGGAGCCTCAGTCCTTCCTCTCCACCATCAGGGGAGATCCTAAGAAAAATCAAGCCACCTACATGTCTTGTCCAAACCTAACCTCGTTTTGGTCAGTACCTGTCAAACTCCAATTCCTGTGTCTAGAACTGTGTGACTCACATTCATAGCCTGGAGGTATATTCTTTCCTGAACCCCTTAGATCCTACTTGGCTGGGGTATTAATGAGGTGAGAAGCAGAGATGCAATAAATACTATGGGCCCAGGCCTGCTAAGTCTCCCTCTCTCTAGATCAAGTGATGGTCTAATCAGCACCACCCCTGGCTTTCTCAAAATAGAGCACAGCTTCACACAGCTGACCTCTTGAGTGATTGGTGACTGCCTCTCTGGCCTTCATCTCATTAAGTCTAGCCATAGTGGGTCTACTGCTCTGTCTCAGAGAATCCATTGCACTAAAGAAGGAGGTCCCTCCTTGTAGCAATAGTAGAGTCGAAGGGACCCAGCAAAAGGAAGTACCGCCTTTGAAGGATCCATCCCTTCTCTGAGGTTCCATGCCTTGGCAGCTCTTGTTCAATGTCATATAACAACCAGGATGGTAGAAAAGAAAAACATAATACAGAAGACCTAGATTTTTGTCCTAGATTGGTAGTTATTTTATTCCATTTGGAGTGGGGGTGGGGCATCAGTAGTCTCATTTGTAAAGTGAGAGCACAGGCTGAAGTAATCTCTAAATATCCCTCTATTTCCATAAATTCTGAATCTACCTAATTCCTAAGCAAATATTCCTGCTCCCCAAATTTTTACTCCCTAGTCCAAATAAGAACAACTTTATGGCTATGGTAATGCTAATATATTAGTGGGACCTGTGAAGCCTTCCTTAATTATCAGATGGCCAAGGCTACATAGTTTCTGTTACATTTTTGCTTGTTTTGACTCCTCCTTTCTAAAACAGGGTAAAGACATTGGTGATATCCAGCTTCAATTTCTTTTGTTTAATCCTACCTGAGGACACTTTTTTTCTCCATTGCTTTTAGAGAGAGAGGAAGGGTGAGAGAGAAACATCAGTGCAAGAAAAGAATCAATCCATTGCCTCCCACATATGTCTGGACCAGGGATCAGCGCCCAGATCAGGGATTGGATCCACAACCTAGTTATGGGCCCAGTCAGGGCCCAGCTTCAATTTTTAAATGTTATTTTTAATAAAAAATGCTCAAGCATATTAAAAAAAGTGAAAATAATAATATGAAGAACTCATTTTATCCATCACCTATGTTTAACACATTAACATTTTGCTAAATATTTTAAATCTAAATCTTGGTTTCTTTGTTGTTCTGTGCAGCTTTAGAGTTTTGAAATGAACTACTCAAACAATATCTGCAGTTCCACAGCTTTGGGGGAACTTTTTTTAAAATGAGGCTTGATTTGACACTCCATAACTTTTCTAAGAAATCTGAGCTATCTCATGTTTATTTATCCATCTCTTCCTCGAAAAAGATGAATTTTTCCCCTGTGTTGTTTCATCTCCCAAAATTTCTTGGCTCATTATGCAAGGATACATAAATTCTGGGAAACTCCCAGCACGTTATAAACATAAGAATGATTAATCTCCCAGGGAATGACTAAATAGGCTATCCATACAGATTATTTTACAGTGTTTCCAAGAATCTACAGCACAACGAAAGGAGATTTCAGGTCCATTAATTTATCCACTCGTCAAACATTTTACTGTGCACCTACTTTGTTCCAGGCTCAGTGTTCAGCAGTGCAGGGAAGACAGAGATGGAAAGACATTCTCTTTCTATCAAGGGCTGGGAGACAAATTTGAAACTGGTTAACTGCATTAAAGATGGTCATTTCAATGACATTTTTCTGTGCAGAGTCTATGTTGAAGAACAGTTCTCCTTCATGGTGAGATCAAGATAGTGTATAGAGGGAGGATCTATGAAGGTGCTTCTTGGAGTAGAATCTGTGCTGTTGAGTTCCCGCTCCCCTCATATCCAGAGGGAGAGGCAGTACTTGTGCTATACCTTCTCCTCAAGCCTAAAGAGGGGCTTCTGTGGGACTAGAGAACTTGGAAGTTGTTCCTTACAGTTGTAAAACACAGAGAACCACAACAACTCTTACCTATAAACTTAAAGAAGGCAGTAGCCACAAAGCAGAGGTGGCTGCATTGGGATCCACTAATAGCCCCAGATTTAGTAGGGATGACAAACGTGTAAATGCTTCCCTGGATCAGGTGGGGGTCAATAGAAGACAATCAGCATAAGGTTGCCTTTGGTTTGTTAAAAAGGGCTGCCATGCTTTGGTTGGTATGGTTCACTGGATTGAGCACTGGCCTGTGAATAAACACAGAAATCCTAGAACCTACAGAGGTTGTCACAAGCAACCATTTGTGTCTGTCTAGGACAAAGGGACTCAAGTGAGAGGTCTCTGAGGGTGGCAATCTCCAAAGAACCTTTAATACCACTCTACAAGAAAGTGAGTCAACTTTAACCATCTGCCACACCCAGGTAGTACAGACCCATTCTATCAAAACAGAACTGTCCTATCCCCTCAGCCCTCAGCCTCCTCTCACCTTTACACAGCAGGTCAAACAGCAGTTAGCTAGTGGGGGTGGAGGTAAGCTGAGGAGAGAGGTGGAGGCTGGCAGCCACCAGCCACAGGGGCCTTATACAGGGGCAGGGGGGGAAGGTGAGGTCTTAGACTAGTACCTTAGAATGAGGATTGAAGTATTTGGTTACCACCTGGGACTGGAAACATTCTATTTACTAAATCAAAACTCTTTTTTTTTTTTTTTTTTTTTTTTACTTAAAGTGGCTTATAGAAGAATGAATCAAAATGTTAGAAAACCTGTTCAGTTTTCCATTTGGAGGCAAAGGAAGATGAGGAAGATGATCACCTCCCAATAGCTATTTTTAAAAGATAGTAAAAGCCAAAAAGTAAAGTTGTATTTTGATCACATCCCATGAATCTTGCATTTAACATTCTAACTCTATATATTTCAATTTACATCTGTTCTCCATATTTTGATTACAAGTGATTGCATAAGTTGTCTTTTGTTTTTAAGAAGTGCGGTGTCTCTCTAAGACCTTTTTTATTATTTTTCTTCCCTCCCCTGCTAATTGCAGTTCTGCTCTCAAGCAGCATTCATTAGGTGGCGTTGACCAACGGTGCAACTAGTGTCCCTATTTTCAGAGCTTGGCATAAACTTGAACTAGAAATTTGATAATGAT